CCCCCCCCCCCCCCCCCCAAAAGCACCATTAAATCGTGGTTGCCAGTTGAGCCTTGCTCTTGTGAAGCCAAAACGATGGGGTCCTTAAAATGGTTTCGGCTTGTTTAGTGTGATCTTAAGATTAAATCCATCGCATAACGCAAGCGTCATAGCCTCCCCCCGTATTTTTAAACTAAACCGGAACATGAAACTGTTGTAACTTTTCCCCCAAAAGTATATTGACCGATTTTGTGTGGACCGGCAAAGTGAGGCTAGCGGACTGGTGCCGACCCGCGGACCGGGGCCGACCCGCGGACCGCCATGTGGGGAACACTGGTCTAGAGGCAGTGTTTCCCATAGTGGTGGTTATGAGAGTCTTATCGAACTGGCTGAGCACGGTTTAAAAAATATTTTATGACATATGCAAGGTAAAAAAAAATAAAATAATAAAATCAGCAAAGCTGTCCGTGGGGCAATGGGAAAGGTATCTAACTGTCTGAGAAACCTGAAAGTTTGGGAAGCACTGGTCTAGAGGTGCCAAGACGGATGTCAAATGTATCTAACTGACAAACCTAAAAGTTTTGGAAGCACTGGTCCAGAGATGTCAAGACGGATGTCAAAACTCGGGCTCCACACAATAGGAAATATATACTGTGGCGTATACAACCAGAGACAATACGTTTGCCGTATAAAATAGGACACAGAAAACGCGTGGTGCATACAGCAGGGAGTGTAGAAGATGTGGTGAGCACCATAGCAAAATAATGACTTACTATGGGGATGTGTAAGTGGTGGTGCTTGGTGGGGAGGGGGTGGGGCCACAGACGGCATGAAACAAATGTATGAATGGGCATTAAAAACATAACTGAGGGCGTGCCAAGAGAAGTGGTTTCCCCTCCCACCCCGCCTCTTTGAGTTATAGCCCCCCCGTATATGCTGCTCTTTGAATGCAGGGCGTTAGTATAAACTCCTGCCCCGTACCGATGTAAACAGTGTTCCCATAGCTGCCGCATTCTCTGCCCCTTCTTTAGGTCACCACCCTGATCAACCTTAACAGCCACACACACACTCACACACACTCACACACAGGACTCGTGAAGCACAGACGTGTTTTGGTTTTTATGCTCATCTTATTGGGAGTTGACTAACTGGGAGGGGGAGTGCAGGAGGGGGGGTGTAGGGGTGTAGGAGAGGAGTGTATGAGGGAGAGTGTAGGAGGGGGGGGGGCTTTCATATTATCATGCATCCTAGAAATGTTATCTTTTATTATCCTAAAAGTGTTATCATTTATTATCCTAGAAATGTGTCATTTGATTGGATTCTGGTCTCGTAACAAAAATTGTTCATGATTGGCATGTCTGTTAGTTCATGATTGCTGTGCCTAGTAGATGATGATACCTGTATCTAATAGTTCATGATTGCCGTGTCTAGCAGTTCACGATTGCTCCATCTAGTAGCTTATAACCGCCGTGTCTATTAGTTCATTGTTTCAGAGCATGGTTACCATCGGTCCATCACCTATAAAGTGGATCAAGCTTGATGCGTTGACAGAAATCCTATTGCTATTACAAAGAAACCTTGTTCCAAAAATTGATACATTCTGGCTATGCGTATAGGATACGCAAGTGCTCCCAGAGAAGGATACAATTCATTCCTCATCACGTGTTCATCTAGTTGTACTGTTGTTCACACGAAGCTGTTAGTTAGAGGCTCCCACTTAAAA